TTGGAAATTTTCTCTTTTGATTACTCTTAGTAAGATATGACTCATAGTGACCCCTTCTTCAGTTTCCGAGGTGGTATCTCTACAGAAGTAGATTGCCCAATCTTCCTTCTGAGGAGTGGCTGGTGAGTTTGAACCGCCAGCCTTCTGGTTAACAGTCAAATGCCTTAGGCAGTGCACCATATTCTTCCTGGTTATATCTAGGTATAGGTATATTCTGTTAATTTGCCTAGTAAATTATATGACTTTCAATTTACAAATGGAAGGACAATTTTTTTTCTGTTATATCTTTAATTAGCATTCTTATTCTGTTTTATTCTGTCTTCTTCAAGGAATTTGTTATTGATGTTGGATTGTCATTATTTATCCTTTCTATGATATTTCTTTCTACTCTTTTGTTCTATAGTATGGGAGTGTATCAAGACTTGAGCACAACCCTGTAGCCAGTCTAACAAGAGTTCAAGTATCTTACTATTTACAGGCTATGTAAACTAAGAACAAACCCGAGTGCCACCAAGTTGACCCTGACTCATAGCAACCACATAGGATAGACTAGAACTGCCCAGAATGTTTCCAATTCTGTTCATCTTTATGGAAGCAGATTGCCACATCTTTCTCCTGCAGAACAGCTTGTGAGTTCAGACAGCTGAACATTTGGTTAGCAGCTGAGAGCTAAACCACTTCATCACGACTTTACTGCTTATGGGATCTTGGAAAATCACTAAACTTCTACACAGACAATGAGCTCTTTCACATGGTGTGCCCTTTAGTATAGAACTAAACTTTCCAAATTAAGCAATGTGGCAGCTATTCTCCAGAAATGACCACCAATGATCCTTTCTTGAAATATTCACATTCTTTGTAATGTCTTCCTATTGAATCAGGATTGACTCTATGACTTACTCTTGACAAACAGGATATACCAGAAGTGATACTGTGTGACTTTTTAGCTTAGTCATCAGAACCTTGATATTTTTCTTCTGAGCCTCTTAGAATGTTTATTCCAGGAGAAGTTAGCCACCATGTAAGAAGTCCAACTTCTCCAAGATTGCTTTGTTGGAAGAAATCCAAGTTAGCCACAAGAAAGGCTGTATATTGAGAGATAGATGAGCAACCAACCAAAACTTTTCCAACCATATCAGCCCAGACACCAGACATATAAGAGAAGAAGACTTATTTTTAAGTCAGTAAGTTTTGTGCTGAGAAGTGATTCAACAGTACAGAAATAGTGATTGAGTATGACAGGACATAGTCCACTTAATTCCCATGACACTCACTATTGTCTTAGGAAGAGGAACTTTCTAGTCTCAAATCAGTTTTTCTGCTTTCTTCTATCTGATTCTAACTGAAACCCATCCAAGAGAATTCAGATGCTCAATAGTCATGTAATTTATAGTCATTAGATTTACTCCCTTTGGTTTTTCTAAATTTTTATTGTGATTTGGGTGAAAGTTTACAGAGCAAATTCACTTTCCATACAGTTGCTCATATACATTTTGTCTCCTGACATTGACTGCAATTTCCCACAATGCAGCAGCTCCCTCTCACTTCCTCCCCATAATTACCTCTTCCCTGTGTTCTTCCCTCCCATGTACTCCTGCCCCCAAAGCTGTCTCCTTGTACATACACATCACTTATATTCTCTCACTTTTGATCTACCCAAGGAGTGTATCTACCTAATGCAAATGTCCAGCTCATATGCCTGTCTTTTGTTTGGCTGGAAGCCACAGGAGTGGGTTCAGTTCCTGGCCTGAAGGGCAGCTAGGGGCCATAGTTTTAG